CCTACACTCAAGAACCCATACACCACAGGCCAGCCTGAGCCAGACCCTCTCCAGACCAGTTCCTGTCCAATAAAATACAAATTTCTTTACTTTGTTTGCTAAAGGAATGTTGCTGAAAATATTCTGTCCTCTGTATGAAACCCTATAAAAGATTTCTATTATAATGGGAAATATTTTGCTTCCCCTAAAGGGTTTCTAGGCAGTTTTCTTTTTAGGCAAGGTTACCATGAAGTTCATAATGTTTGATCTTGTTTATATCTTCTAGAACAAAGCTATAATATTTTTTTAAATCATACCAATGGCTGGTTACCTCTGAGAGGTTACGAATGTGCAGCGTGGGACTGACTGACAAGAGGCAAAATGTAACTTACCAAGGTTATGATAATGCTATCAAGATCTGTCAAAAGTGGCTCTACTAGGCAAAGAACTGTGACTGAACTCTACCCCTTAGATGTCATTACTTCTCCACCCATTGGGACAACCAAAAATATCTCCAGAAATTGTCAAATGTCCCGTGAGAGGCAAAATCACCTCTGAGTGTGTGCCACCACCCTTTATCTTGACAGAATTTTGACTTATGCAGGTGTATGCATTTGTCAAAACTCAGAGAACATAGTTAAAATATGTTCTCTGCATTTATGTATTTTTTGACTCAAAAGAAAACAAACTGTAAGCAAATGAAAAACTCTAGTTAATGCTATACATGCTAAAATATTTAAGAGAAAGTTTTTAGAGATGGTTGGGTAGTGATTTATACAGGCATGTAAAAATGCAATACAGTAAAATGTTAATGGTAGGCTCTAAGTGATAGGTATATACACATCCTACAACATTTTTTTTTTTTACTTTTCTGTATGTTTGATGATTTTCATAAGGAAATGTTGGGTAATTCTCATTTATCAACTACATAAATCAGAAGACACCAAAAACACCCAATGGAGCAAGTTCATAAACATGGAGATACCTGTGTACTAAAAACTATCAGCTGTAAATACTGCGAGATTTTGAAAAGGGCCACAAGTTACACCACATAGTATGTGGCTCTTTTCTTTATTGTATTTTTTCCATTACCATTTACCCCCTCTATACCCTCTTACAATTCCACCCACACCCTCTCCCCCACCTCAATCACCACACTGCTGTCCATTTCCATGAGCTCTTTCTCTTTTTTTCTTTATTGCTGGATCCCTCCAACTCACCCTAAACTCCCCAACCTGAACTGTCAGTCTGCTCTGAGTCTGTCTCTATGAGTCTGTCTCTATTCTGTTTGTTCACTAGATTTCACATATGAGTGAAATCATATGGTAATTGTCTTTCTCTGACTGGCTTATTTCACTTAGCATAATGTTCTCCACATCCTCACCAGAACACGTTTGTTAATTTATTGATGACAGTCATTCTGACAGGTGTGAGGTGGTATTCCATTATGGTTTCAATTTGCATTTCACTGATGATTAGTGACACTGAGCATCTTTTCGTATGTCTATTGGCCATCTGTATGTCCTCTTCAGAGAAGTGTCTATTCAGGTCCTTTGATCATTTTTAATTGGACTGTTTGGGATTTTTTTTGGTGCTGAGTTCTGTAAGTTCTTTATAAATTTTGGATATTAATCCCTTATGAGATGTATTGACAAATATGTTCACCCATTCAGTGGGTTATCTTTTCATTGTGTTCATGGTTTCCTTTGCTGTGCAAAAACGTTATTTGTTTTAAGATTTTATTTAATTTTAGACAGAGGGCCTTAGAGCATTTAAGCCATTTATATTTAAAGTGATTACTAATAGATATGTATTTATTGCCATTTTATTTTTCTAACTATGTATCTGTTTTCTTTTTCCCTCCTTTTCCTTTTTCTTCTTCAATCAAGCCCTTTAATACTGTTTTGGTGTAACAAACGCTTTTAACTTTTTCTTGTCTGGGAAGCTCTTATTTCTCCTTCAGTTTTAAATTATAGCCTTGCTGGGTTAAGTAGCCTTGGGTGTAGGTCCTTGCTTTTCATCACTTTGAGTATCTCATGCCAATCCCTTCCAGCCTGAAATGTTTGTTGAGAAATCAGATGACAGTCTTATAGGAGCTCTCTTGTAGATAACTGCTTTTCTCTTACTGCTTTTAAGATTCTCTCCTTGTCTTTAAGCTTTGCCATTTAATTATGATGTGTCTTGGTGTGGTTCTCTTTAAATCCATCTTATTTGGTATTCTGCACTTCCTGGACTTGTGTTTTTTTCCTTCACCAAGTTATGGGAGTTTTCAGTCATTATTTCTTCAAATAAGTTCTCAATTCCTTGCTCTCTCTTCTCCTATAGTACCCCGATGAGGCAGATGTTGTTACACTTCATGTTGTCCCGAAGTTCCCTTAAACTATCTTCATTTTTTTTTTTTAATTTTTTTCTTTTTGTTGTTCTGCTTGGGTGTTTTTTCTACCTTGTCTTCCAAATCACTGATTCAATCCTCTGCTTCATCTAACCTAGTGTTTATCTTTCTAGTATATTATTTACTTCAAATATTGCATTCTTCATTTCTGACTAGTCTTTTTTTATAAGAATGTCTTTTTCCATGCTGTTGAGCATCTTAATAATCATTACTTTGAACTCTATATCTGATAAATTGCTTGCCTCCATTTCATTTAGTAGTTCTGGAGCATTCTCTTGTTCTTTCATTTAGGGCCTATTGCTTTGTCTTCCCATTTTGGCTGCCTCTTTGTTTGTTTCTATGCATTAGGTAGATCTGCAGACTCTGCTGCACACTATGTCAGACACTGGCTGCAATTAGCCCTGGGTAACCTGTTTGGAGCTATCAGCAATTCACAGCTTGTAGCTCCCTCTGCTGGGCCTGGGTGCGTGTGGAAAGAATCAAGTATGGCTTCTACCAGCTCTGGTCCTGTTGGCAGGTCAGCAAAAGTCTCAAAGCACCCAAAGATCTACCTCTAGCTACAGGCTGTCTGTTAGACTTAAGTCACTGAAAGAGCCTCTAACTGTATTCGTCAGCAGTACTTAAGCTCCACGTCGTAAGGCAAGAAGGATTTCTGTGGGTGCTTCTCCCCAGGCTGATGCTACATGGACAGGAGTGCTTTGCCTGAGAAAGCTGGCTTCTGCAGTACAGAGGGATGGCTGAGCACAGGGATCCTGGCAACTGACCCTTCAGCTCACTCCCCAGAGCCACCAACCTGTGACTCTCCTCATACAGCTGTAGTGCACTTTGCCCTTCCTCAACTGGAGTCCAGGGTGTATTGCTGCAAGCAAAATTTTGTGCATTGGCCCTTTGAGGATGGCTGCATCTCTAGCCTTCTCTCCCTGGCAGACAGAAATCCTGCTGCTTTTCATAACCAGTGTTATGCGATGCCTTTCCTGGTTCTGGTACTCAAGGCTGGGGGGCCCAGCTTGGGATTTAGACCTCACACTTTTCAGGGGGGAGCCCCTGCAGCTGAACTATGCCTCTGGAACTTTAGCTGCCACTGGTGGGAGCCCAGCAAGTCCTCTCACACTTCTGCACTTTCTACCAGTCTCAATGAGGTTTCTTCTTTAAGTCCTTGGTTATAATTCTTCTCTCCAGCTAATCTTCAGTTGGTTATTCAGGATGACTTTTCTATAATTTAGTTGTAATTCCAGTTTGATCCTGGGGGGAAGTTTGCATAGCTTCTACCTATGCTGCTGCCATCTTGGATCCTCCCAATATGTGATTCTTAATGACTTCTTGGAGAAGAAACAATACTCTCCATCTCCACTGGCATCAGTAACAAGTTACATTTGTAAATTTACACCTCAAACATTTAAGAACAGTTCATGTTTACTTTAAAGGTTCTGAAATTTCAGTTAAAACAGTATATACTTGAAGATTCTTTCATAAATATATTGTCAAATATTTGAAAATTAAAGTGCAATAATGACTAAATATAAGTTATGATATTTCTTATTGTTTCTAATAAGACATTCTTTTACCTTAATATTATTATGGAATGATACGTTTCTCAAAAGTGTGTAACATGCTCTGCTGTATCATATAACAGGTATCAAATAAATCCTTTTAAAAGAGGCAGTGAAACTGGTTATTTACAATAGACAAATATTAGTGTCCATAAAGCCTATGATTTTATGGGGGGGTGATAAAATCCACTGGGAGTGATACAGTCCACTGCTATTCAAAGCATGGATCACAAACCAATGATCATCTATAAACCATTTGTTACGGATTCATGATTAGATCAATTCAGAAACTGAAAACAAGCACTTAGAAGCTTTTACAGAAGTTTAACATTGCTGTGACATCAAAGTGCATAATTAGTGGATCTGTCTTGTTCATTAGACTATAGATAGATCCAACTGTTTTCAAAGTCACACGGCAAGTTGCATGTAGTGTGATGTGTATGAGTCAAGCATAGTAGAATCATATTATGTGTGCTATATTTAGGGTTATTTTGTCAACTACATAAAGGTATATAAAAATCTTAGAAAAGGCACATGTTATCCTCATCTTATACCTGTTTCTTAATTTATAATTTAACATCAATAGGTACATGAGAAAACAAAACCCATGTTATTTTAACCTATTGAACATGTGGACAAACAAGCTTCAGTGCATTTTTCAGCATGTTTACTGGGGAAGACGCACTTTTTCTGGAGGCACTAGCGGCAAAAAACCAAATGAAGGTGAAGAAAGTGATACTGAACTGGTAAAGACCAAAGAAGGCCTACTTCACTCAGGAATATAATTCCTTATATACTGAGTTCAGTTTTATATCCATAATTGATGATGAAGTACTAACATTACAGTGTGTTAAATGCAGAGATATACTGGTCAATGGAGCAGCAAAACCATCAAAATTTAAGGAGTATATACATACAAAATATACACAAAAATAAGCTCAAAATCAAAAGAATTCTTTGAAAGAAAGCATTTAGTTTAAAAAGCCAACAGAAATAGATATTCAGTATTTCACCCATAAATGTTTGTTTTACAGGCTTCCTATCCTAGCATTTTGGATTGCTAAGACAAAAAGGCTAAATACAACTCTTAAGAAACAACTAAATGTGTCCTGGCCGATACAGGCCTCTGCTACAGTGGCGATGGTCATTCCAGGTGTGTGAGTGATTCCCTAGGCCCAGCAAAGGGACCAAGTTTCCAGAGCTCTGAAGACAAGGGTTAACACACCAAAATATGGATTCATTTCCCATTCCACCTTCACTGGCTGAGCAGCTGCCAAGAAAAAAGGCCACATCTCGGGATATCTGGCAAACAAATGTAGTATTTCCTCATGAATTGATTGCTTCTTTGAAGTGCCTGCAAGTGTATTTCAGGAGAAGCATCGAGAGCAAGTGGAGAAGCAGCTATCCTATGAGACTGGAGATTCTGCGAAAGAATATGGAGGTCATGAAGGAGGCAATGATTTAGAGGGAGTGGCTGCTCAGATTACAAGAAAGCTAGAGAAACAGCAGAAGAAACTCTGAAGGAGGAAAAGAAATAACTAGCAGCAATTGCCCTGGTGTCTTCTGAAAACAGCAATAGTATGCAAGAAGAGAACAGGGAAGGAGACAGGTGCTGAGCAAACTTGCTCAAGAGCCCAGAGAGCTGGTTGTAGCACATACAAGATCACTGGGCAGGTGTGTTCTGTCCTTAGCTCCCTCTCAGGAGTCTTCAACCAGGGGAGACAAGTGAAAGACCCTAAAAAGAAGAAAAAGCAAAAGCTCCAGGAGCCTCCTCAGAAGAATGCAATGGAAGAGCCATCTATCCATTTATCCAAATCCAAGAAAAAGAAAACTTGGTTTCCAAGTAGGAGCTGGTTAGTAGTGATCTTGGCTTGCAGGGGAGGTCCTCCCAAGAGGAAGAAGTCCTTCACTAAAGAAAAACCAATCAGCAGGAAACAGGAGTGTCCACCCAAAAAAGGAAATTCTCTTCCAAAGAGAGGCCATTCAGCAGGGGACCTGAAGAAGCTGCCGGCAACAAGAGCAGCAGTTCTAAAAAAAAAAAAGAAAGAAAGAAATAAAACGCTCCAAAAGGTATCCCAGAATGATTAGAATGGACAGTAACCTGGTCAGGTATTGCTACACGCAGTGACATTTCCTGACTCATCCCTTATAACCCAATAAAAACAAATTCACAAGAAAAAAGAAAGAAACAAATGAACCATTACAACAAAGCTATTTGTTGGAAATACTGGCTAAATCTGCACTTTCCAATGATAGCAAAGTTCACCACTTTGAGAAACTAATGACATGGAAAACCAATTTACAAAACAATATTTGCAAAGTATTTTTCACTGCATCTTGGCAAGTGCACAGATATTACTTATGTGCTATTTGAACATGATGGTGATATAAAGGAAGAATTTTTCTTCTCAGTTTTGCAGGCAACAAACACTATTAGCTTTGAACTGGGTAAAACTATGAAGAATTATACTGTCAACAAAATTGGTCTATAGTTTTGTAGAGAAGAATGTTCTGATGGCACACCTGCAATGACAAGAAAACATTCTGGCATAATTCACCAGGTTAAGAAGCACCTGAAAGCAAATCAACACATTGCTTCTTTCAATGACAAAATCTTGATATAAAAAAGTCAGTTGAACTAAACAGCACATTTAGAATCATAATAAAAACCACTCAATGTAAATACTAACACATTAAATTACACATAATCTTTTTAGAAAGAGGTATCTTATAAATGATTGCTGATGAATTAATGTTAAAACATTGGTTACTGAGAGGAAGTTGGAATTACAAAACAATTCTAATATTTCTGTAAGATAAACAAGTTTGGTTCCAACTTGTAAAAGATGTGAATTGAATAATCAGTTTATAGTATCTTCTGTATTTTTAATGATCTTAAGAGTTCATTATTACAAATTGATAATTATAAAACAGTCAAGGGATGTAAAGTACAGCATAGGGAATATGGTCAATAATATTGTAGTAACTGTGTAAGGTGCCAGGTGGATACTGGAAATTTTGGGGGGGGGGGGCACTTTGTAAAGTATATGATTGTCTAGCCACTGTACTGTACATCTGAAACTAATATAAAATAATAATGAAAGTAAACTGAAATTGAAAAATAAAAATTTTTTAAAAGACTTCCTTATAAGGAAGATATGCAAGATGCTTTTCAATGGCAGGTAAGATTAAAGGGAGAAACAAAATTAGAAGATTAGAAGAATAGTTTCTCCATATTATTACTATATGTGTAACAAATGTAACAGAACATTTTGAAATTTAATTTTCCAACCAAAGGAGATCCAAAAATAGGAAATGTAATAGAAATGAATCTATTTCTTTCATTTAAAGATAATTCAACTATTCGGAGCAGAAACTGTCAGAGTCGGCTACTACTGAAAGATAAAGGTTACATTTGAGACTCTTCTTTTTGGATAAAATTCTAAATGATTATTCTGATCTTGATGAAAATGATTTTAAGATTTCTTTTGCCAACCCCACCAACATAACTCAGTAACAATAACAATGGCTTCTCTACTTAAGAGTATTATTCATTTATTTTTGCCATTACTTCCCTTTCCTCTGGGGTCAAATTCATAAAATGTTCTCTACAACCAAGGTCCATAAGTTTAGTACATATGTTTTCTTCTATGGGTTAATTTCCAAAATACATAAAGAACTCACAGCCCTGGCCAGGTGGCTCAGCTGGTTGGAGTATCATCCCATACACCAAAAGGTTTCCAGTTCAACACTCAAGTCAGGGCACACACCTAGGTTGCCAAGTTCAATCCCTGGTCGCAGTGTGTACGGGAGGCAACCAATCGATGTTTCTCCCACATCAATGTGTGTGTTTCTCTCTCTTTCTCTTTAAAAATCAATAAACATATCCTCAGGTGAAGATTAAGGAAAAAAAATCATAAAACTCAGCACCAAACGATCCAACTAAAAAGAGTTACCATATGACCCAGCAATCCATCTCCTGGGTATCTACCTGAAAAACTTGAAAACATGAATTCACAAAGATATATGCACCATGTTCATTGCAGTATTATTCACAGTGGCCAAGATATGGAGACAACCAAAGTGTCCTTCAATAGAGGATTAGATAAAGACAACGTGGTACATATGTACAATGGAATACTACCTAGCCATAAGAAAAGACAAAATACTGCCATTTGCAACAACAAGGATGGAAGTTGAAAATATTATGCTAAGCAAAATCAGTCAGTCAGAGAAAACTAAGAACCATATGATTTCACTCCTATGTGGGATATAAAACTGAAACTCATGGACACAGACGTCAGTGTACTAGTTACCAGAGGAAAGGGAGTGGAGAGGGGAGGAGCCTAACATATGGTAACAGAAGATAGCATAACTTTAGGCGGTGGGCACACAGTGCAATATACAGATCTTATATCTTAGAAATGTCCACCAAAAACCTATGATCCTATTAACCGATGTATCCCAATAAATTTAATTTTTAAAAAAGGAGTATTATTAAATCAAAGCATAGTAGCAGTTTAGCTATATGTTATCACCTGAAAGTAGTGCTGTCTTCAATCCAGAACAGTTGGCTAACAAGCAAGAGGCAAGCGCAACTGTAACCATAAAAGTGTTTGCTCAAAGTACTATGTCAGATTTCAAAACACCCAGTTGCTATAACTTTATTTAGTTATAATTGCTTAAAAAAAAAAAAAAACCCATGAAGTTAAAAGTGTAATGGAGAAATCTGAAGTAGTAATTGGCTGAACAGTTTTAAGGATTTTTCATATATACGGTTATTTTTCTGATTATATTATTAAAATGTAATTTTGTCAGCTGAATAAACTACCTGAGCTTGTATTAAGCATGTCTGTTGTTTGTTGTTTCCACTTTTTTAAGTAACTTATTTTGCGAGCATATCGGTACATACTGGTGGGAAAATTTTAAAAACTCACCCTTTACCTCATTTGGAGAAACACTGGGCTAGCCATAAGTAGCTACCTGTACCTTGAGTTTATGTCAACAGAGTAAATACATATAAATCCTAAATAATCTTGAAGTAAACAAATTTGTAAGATTTGGAAATTTGAAGGGTACAGGAAAATATCTCAACCAGTTATTGATATTCACACACAGAGTAGTTGTGGCTTCCCCATATATCAGGAGTTACTAGGTCTGACACAGATTGCTTATTTGTTATAGTAATCAATAAAAGCCTGGACTAGAAAACATTTTCATATTTAACCCAGTGTTCTATCCATTGAATCCGTTGTCTCTGATAGGGAAAAAAAATGGCAAAGGGAGATTCTCTCAAAAACAAAAACCAACCTAGCTTAGATTAGCAAACTGAACAAAAAAATTGTCTTTGGAAATATCAAAATGTTCTGATTATAATCTCAGACTCCCCGAAGTTCAAGTAAATTTAAACTTGAAAAATAATTAAACACCTCGCTCAGAGATTTGTAGGTCGTTAGCCTAGCTAATATCAGTGAAATATTAGACCTTTCTTCCATGGCTAAAAACAAAACAAAATAAAACCAGTAGTATTCACAGTAGCACATATTGCTAATCAAAACAGAACTCTGGGAGGTCTACTGTGTGCCATTCTGGAATGTGAATACAAATCTAAACCACTCTTTTTCAAGTCAGTAATCAGTGCTAGTTGGAGGGGCAGAGACATGGAATGGGCTGGACCCACACCCATGTGTGACGGCTAAAAATTGGGAGGGATATATTGGCTGCATAGACCCCACTGAGGAGCAAAAGGTCCCAGCCCGACAACAGGCTCCCCAGCCCAGCGCTCCAGGACCAGAAGAGAAATCCCTGTAACTTCTGGCTGTGAAAACTAGGCGAGGATGGTGGCTGAGTGAGATAAACGGCTTCTGGAGTCCCAAGTGTTCCTCTTAAAGGACCAGCACACAGACTTACTCACTAACGGACTCATGAGTTTCAGTGCTGGGGCAGCAACTGGAAAAACACCAGGGACATATAAGGAGGAACTGAATTGTGTGGCTTCAGGGAGAGGGTTTGAGGGGCAGCTTTCTCTCAGACAGAAGTACTGGCAGAAGCTATTACTCCTCCCCCGGCCCAGTCTGCAGGCACAAGCAGGCACCAGGTCTGGGTCTCCATCAATCTGGCTAATACCCTAGCTCTGGTATTATTCCAAGGTCCTGTCCCAACCAACT